CATCAAATACCGGCAGCTGGCAGGAGGCCCAGGAGGTCACCAAACTTGGACTTGAGAAAATTCTCAGAGTTTCCTGAAATTTTCAAAGATATCTCTGCATTTTCTTAATAAAAACCAAAATGCCACATTAACAACAAAGAGAAAAAAACTAAATGGAATCCTTTGAAAAGAGAAACCATAGTGAGCAAATTATTGTTTTCACAATGGATGCAATAAATGTATTTTCTTGATGTTGTAAATATTGCTGACACTGCTTTATGATTAAGGAAATCTTTTAAATAAATATTCCTGAAATCAAACTGGGATAAGTGTGACAGGCAGTAGAATTCTACAGTTTTCTGATAGTACTCTACAACATGGATTTTGTGCCTCTTTGTGAACATTACCCAATATTTCAGAAGGCTAAATAGTTAAATGAAAAACATACTGAGCAGAACACAGCAAATTTGAGTTGTTAATCAATGCCACCAATAACTATTATTAGCTCTGAGAATATCTCCAAGTCTGTTTCCCCACTTACATTACACAAATACTAATGCCCTTTCCCATTCTAAAAATTGTATGAATACACAGGAATCCTGTGGATATAGCTAATGTACAGACATTTTATAAGGCCTCTCTTTATAAAAAGTGTGACTACTCCATTTCACAATAAAATTGCAAAACATTCATACAGAGTAGTCTTTACAAAAAAAAAAAAAAATAGATTTCAAGTGCCCAGTTGATCTGGGAAGGTGGATCAAAACCATGATTCTCAGTGTGTGGTCTCTAGTCAGTAGTAGCAACTTCACCTGGGACCTTTTAGCAATGTTGTTCAAAATGTTGTACTAGTTTCTGAGAACCTTCAAGTATGTCATTTATTCTGACACAAATTCTTCCACTAGCTGAAACATAAAAACCATGAAATGAACATATATGTGTTAATAACCTCAATTCCTATTTGCTTTGAGGGTCCCAGTTTCAGAGGTAAAAAGAGAAAGGAGAGCTTAAAAAGAGAGCTTCAGTTTAAACCATTCCTTAGTGTCCAGAGTAAAATATCAGTAGATTCTAATTAAGCATTTACTATGAGACAGACGGTATCTTAAGAAGCTTTCTCCTCACAACAACTCTCTGAGATGGGTCCTATAACCCCAATTATGTAACTTGTCCAAACTCAAACAACTAGTGACAGGGCCAGGATTCAGAGCTAGACAGTCTGGACACAGTGTGTGTCTTTAACCACGGGTATGTGCAGAAAATTGGGGGAACTCAGCCCCCATGGCTAATTTTCTTTGTGTGAGATTGAACCACATGCCAGAAATAAACATTTCAGCTTTGTTTCTCACAAAATGATAATGAATCAAGCTAAAGACTTACTATCGAATGCTGAGAAATATAATCCAAAAACAATAAATATAAAATACAAACACATATCCATCTCCTGTGATGTGTTTTGCTCACAAGAGTTTCAAGATTGGCCTTAATAGTAAAACCATGCATGATGGAACAAATAGAACTCTGAAGTGAACCTAAATGAATTCCAGGTAATGCTCATCAAAACATTTCTAAGTGAGCCAGGTTATGTAAACCAAGCCTAATTAAGCTGACTTCTAGATGATTGTATCTGCTCTGGCACTTGTGCCTACCAGTGGAGGATTGTAATGTCACCATGAGGCAATGCAGTATTGATCATTTCTAATTGGCCACTCACTGCAAGCAGTGCTGCCACATCTATCACTCTGAATTGCGACATCAAACTCTCTTAGCTTTTCAGTTAAATTATCCAGAACACTTAATTTGATTACTGAGTTTGAATTTGCTTCCACATGCCTTCTTTTTTCCCCATCAACAGATGTTTCTCTAATCTTTCTTTTTAAAGTTATTTCATAGCAAGCCAAATAGAATACCCTACTTACAGTAAGCTGTAATTACATTTAATTTAATAACATCCAATTCTAATTCCATTCAACTTGTTTTCATTTTGGTGTTTGGGAGTTAGGATTTTGGTTTAGGTTTTTTGGTTTTGTGTATATGTATACATATTTATAACATTAAATTGTAATTTTTAAAATATCCTAATGACTTGATTTCTTGAATAGAACATTTACTAAGATGATTATGGGCTGGCACTTGCTCTCTGTCTAGTCTTCCAGAAGTCACACAGGATAGGGAATGGGCAACTTATATTCTTGCACTTAAAGATACAAGATATAAAAAGACATTTTCAGACATCTAATATTATACTTATCACAAATTTAAGAGAATTGAAACTAATTTTTTGGATTAAATACCATAAATATTTCTCACTAGAGCTTTTTGGTCCTAAGAAGATCATAGAGATGATCTTCCAGTCTAATAATGTAAAAGGTGTAGATTTTGTGTGTACATAGTTCAAAGCACTTTGAAATGATTGCAGTTGAGGAAGAAAAGGACTCTTCAATTACTTCACCTACCCTTTTTGCCAGTTTAGGCTTGTCCTTGTTCTGTGTCCTCATTTTTCTATTTTCTTGAACAAACATTGATGTAGCTGGATAAGGTTTCATGTATTCTGTCAAGAGCTAAGAAACAGCAGGCAGTACTCCTAACCTTGGAGATTGCACCCTGTTACTTTTACATGCTTTCCCATGGCTTACATTTTTTATATAAAAAACAGTATTCTGAAAAGTCAGATTTTAAGACTCTTTAAAAATGTGAAAGTTAATAGAGTACAAGCTCCACCAAAAGTCAAATCCTTACCACAGTCAGTAATTAGAAAAAGAGGAGGCTATTGATTTAAAGCTAATCTGCTGAAAAATTTTTTTAGAAAGTTCCATATAAAACACCCAACATAATTGGAAAGATTATTTGAGGATGTCCATATATTCACTTTCTGGTAGAAAGGAAAAATTGTAAATTCCACTCTAAGGGCTCATATAAATACAAAAATCTGATCACGTATCAACAAATTTTTAAATTTGATATTTACGGTTAGTTTTTTGCTCTTGGTTTTGAGTATACATGTTTTGTGTATTTTCAGCTAACAAATATTTAATATATTATTCTAGACACTTTAGAATTATTACTTCATTTAACTCTGATAACAATGTGAAAAGTAAGAGTAAGTGTTACACGACACTTCCAGTCCCTCTTTTATAGATGAGGAAAATTATGCAAGCATTCAAGAGCATGGAGAAGTAAAAGAGCAGGTTTGAACCTGGATCTGCCTTAAAACAAGGCTTCTGTTCCTATCCCCTACCTACACTTCCCCCATTCTCTAAACATAAGCTTAGTACCTGTTCCTTAACAAGTGTATATACCTCAGTGACAAATTGGTGTAGAAGATCACAGCTTGTAAAATAAATATTCTCTGTACAGAAAGTCTTGGTACAGTGAGCACCATGTTCACTACAGCACACATGGGCTGGGACTGGAGTTTTGCCTAGTCTAGATTTTCTTATCCAATGTCAGGTTTTCTAATCCTTTTAAGCCCATTTGCAAAGTCATTCTATTTCAGTATTAATGGCTTAAAACAGCTAGAGTTTTTTAAGCCAAAATTTTGAAATTTCAGATCTCTATTGAGAAAGAGAAAGAGGGAAACATCCGTTTGAATAATCCAGAGACTGCATCGCTGAATTTTCTTTCACTTATGAGAATGTAGTTAATCCCTCAAACCCCCAACTACTTTAGGGAGAAAAAAGTCCTATATATGAATGCCTGTAATGTGCACTGATGACAGGGATGATCTAGGATTATCTCATCAGGAGCCAAAGACTCATGTTATTACAACTAGAAGACTCATCTGTGTTTCATCTTGGTTTTATTTTAGCTCTTGGAAAAGGAAAAAAAATCTTATTCTCTCCTAAATAAAGTATGCAAACTCTACAATGTAATAATTACTAGAAATTATGGTTCTTTTATGGTCCTTTATTGGAACCTACAAAGTTCAGTGTTTTGTTTTTACCATAGGCAAAACCCTACTGATGAATACCTAAGGTTTTCTGGAAAGTAGTCTCTTTCTTCTTTTCTCTAGAGAGGGGAATTTACAGGTGTCTGCCCTTACCCTAACTGAAATCCAACCCCAGAGTTCTCAAACTGCAAGCACTAGCATCAGCTAGAGGGTTTATTGAAACAGATTGCTGGCCCCAACCCCAGAGATTCAGATTCAGTGGGTGGAGCCAGCGCCCTAGATTTAGTACATTAGAAAGTTCCCAGGTGGTGCTGCTACAGCCCAGAGACCACACTTGGAGAATCACTGCTTTCACTCACTTCTTCCTAAACTCTCCATTGCAGGTTGAAATCTGAGATCCGTTTTGGTTTTTGTTTCTTTGGGTTTTTTGTTTTGTTTTGTTTCTTTATGCTGATTACCCATAGTCCCACCCCCAGAGATTGTGATTAACTGGTCAGGGGTGTCAATTAAGCAACATTAAAAAATAAATAAATAAATAAATAAATAAATAAATAAAAAACCTCCACTCCAGGAATAAGTCTACTTGTACAGTAACCTTATCTTTAAGGTTGCTAAAGATAGCTCTTAGACGTCATATTGTACAAGATATGTACAACCAATAATATATATTTAAAGGGTTTTTTGTTTGTTTGTTTGTTTTTGTTTTTGTTTTTTAAGAAAAGAACCTCTGGTCCACACCACACAGACCCAGACCCACTGTCCTGGATGCTCAGCGTGGCGCTCCCAGCCGAGCTAGGGACACTTCCAAGAAGACCAAGGCAGAGTGGGGATGAGCTTCCAGGAGTTAATCACTGTATGTTATCTCAGAGGCCAAACTCTGAGGCAGAAATCCGCTCCCAGGTAACCTCCCGAGGTTTATGAACACAAGGGAAATTTGCAAGACAGACCCTGACCTCTCTCAGCCTTCAGCCTGGGCAGGAATTTTACCGGACAGTTCACCCCCTGCCTCAGCACCAGGGGGAAAACTGCACCCTCGCGTCACGTAACAAATCAAATTGCAGTCCCCGGAGGGTCAGCCCGAAGTCCCCTAGACGTCACTCTGGCTAGGAAAGGAGAGACGGTGGTGTTGCCTTACCTGGTGCGAGTGTCCAGGTTCAGGGTTGCAGTCACAGCCAGCTGCGTGGTGCGCCAGAGGGACCAGGTGTCCCAGGCAATGACAAGCCCGGACCGGGGAAAACCTGGGCTGAATCCGGTTGGCAGCGCTCCGCCTGGAGACCCGTCTCTCTGCAGCAGCCGGTGCCTAGCGCCCCGGCTCAGAAACTCCTCAGCCCCCTGGAGGCGGAGCCGGGAGATAAGGTTCAGGCGCCCCACCCGCCCCCTTGGCGGGGCGACTGCCAGAGGGTGGGGTTTGGGATCTGGATCTGGAAGTGAGAACTGTTACTGTTAACTCTGGTAGAGACACAGTCAGTTCAAATCCTGCTAGGACCAGAATATGCACGATTGGGGAATGACAGTGAAGTTGAACAAGGACGTCCAAGAAGGACGAGGAAACCCAGAAAGAGAGGCAGAATGAGCAACTAGTAGGAAAGCAGAAAAGAGGCAACTCCCCGCAATTAGGGCTTGCTTGTTCTGTCATATACACACATTAACACGGTCTCACCTGGTATTTTCTTCTGCCTCCAAAGCTCTGTCCCAGACCTTATCATAGCTCTCTGCTTTTCTTTATTCAGTTCTCTACTCAAATATCACCAAGTGAGTCCTTCCTGCATGTCCTATCAAAATGGAACTCCCACAAGCATTCCCATCCCCAAGCCCACTTTTTCACCAGATCACTTATTGCTCTCTGATTTTTTTAAAAAATTTTATGTTTGTTGTTTTCTTGCTTCACATCCAACTCAAGATAAGGACTATGAGGGCAAGGAATTGATTGACTTGTTGCCAATTTTATCATCTGCACAAAGAATACCTGACATATAGGAGATACTCAATAAATACTGGCTGAATCAATGTGTGAATTAATTCTTCACCCTCGGAAAACCTTCACACACACACACACACACACACACACACAAATGCTTTCCTTCAATAAGAATTTCATGAAATTCAAGTCACATAAGAACATTTTGAAATGATTATTATTCCTACCATTCATTCATGTTAAGTTCTATTATTATGCAAATATGATGGAAGTGAATTGCTTTGGGTTTGGCAATGGATGCTTAGGTGTGATAGCTAAATTCCAAGCAATTAAAGAGAAAAATGAGTTGGACTTCATCAAAATTAAAAATGTTTTTACCTCAAATATGACAGCCTACCAATTGAGAAAAATATTTGCAATACACATTCAATAAGATCCTTGCATTCAGATATATGAAGAATTCTTTCACTGCAACAAGACAACCAAATTAAAAATGGGCAAAGCTTCAACAGATGAATGGATAAAGAAAATGTGGTACATATACACAATGGAATATTATTCAACCAAAAAAAAGAATAAAATTATGGCATTTGCTGGTAAATAGATGGAATTGGAGACGATTATGCTAAGTGAAATAAACCAATCCCAAAACACCAAGGGCCAAATGTTCTCTCTGATATGCTGATGCTAACTCACAATAAATTGGGGAGGAGGGAAATAGAAGTTCACTGGATTAGACAAAAGGGAATAAAGGGAATGGAGAGAGGGGAAGATGGGAATAGAAAAGAGGGTAGAATGAATCAGACATAACTTCCCTATGTTCTTGTATGAATACATGACCAGTGTAACTCCAAATCATGTACAATCACAAAACTGGGAAGGTATCTCCATGTATGTATGGTATGTCAAAAAACATTCTACTGCCATGTATAAAAAGAGCATATAAAAATATTTTTTTAATGGGCAAAGGATGTAAATAGACATTTCTCCAAAGAAGATACACTAATAACCAATAAACACATGAAAGACTGCTGAGTATCATTAGCCACTAGGGAAATGCAAATCAAACCCCAAAACAGATAAACTTCAAACTCACTAGAATGGCTAAATAAAAAAGGCAAACAATAAGTGTTAACAAGAATGTGTTGAAATTGGAACACTGAATATATTCTAAGTGGGATTTCAAAAATGGGTCAGCCACTTCAGAAAACAGTTTGGCCATTTTCTACAAAGTTAAACCCAGAGTTACTGTATGATATAGCAATTTCACTTCTAAATATACAGCCAAGAGAACTCAAAAAAGACTGTATTTATTCTAACAATTACTTATGAATGTTCACAACTACATTATTTCATAATAGCTAATGATGGTAATGATCCAAATGTCCATCAGCTATTGAATGAATAAGCAAAATGGGATACATCCATACAAAGCAACATGGTTTTTCTAGAAAAGTGTGAAATGCCACAATAAAAACAAACCCTTGAAATGTTAAATGAGAAAACCTAGTCACAACACACACACAGACACACACACACACACTTTATGATTCCATCCATATAATTGGGCAGAATAGGCAAATCCATAAAGACATAAAGTAGTGGTTTCCAGGGGCTGAGGGAAAGGAAATTGGGAGTGACTGTTGGTTGGGATGGGGTTTTACTTTGTGGGTGATGAAAATGTCCTGCAATAAGACACTGGTGACAGTTACACAATGTTGAATATGCTAACAACTGGTGAATTTTTCATTTAAAATGGTAAAATTTATGGTATGTGAATTATATTTCAGTTTAAAAAACACTAATTTTTTAACCTTTAAGTGAATTACTTTTATGATGTTTAATTTATGTGTCAGTAAAAATAAAACTAATGAGGAGATATGAAATGCACTGGTTTTAACTCAGCTGTAGAACATTCCTTTAAACTCCATCATGGCTCTCCAGAGAACTACTCTAGTTCTCAATTTTTCACAATATTTTAAAAAATGTGTCTGGCACAATCATTGTTTGATTTCATCTTTCCCATCCCCAAAATAGGCAGTGCTAACATCCTTTGAGACAATAGCCTTAAGTAAAAAGAACAAGAAGAACTTTTTTAAAGGCATTAATCAAAGTAGCTGCTGAGATCTTGAAGATGTAATTAAGTTCTATAATCAATTAACATTAAGGTAGGGAGACTATGTGGATGGATTTGACCAGATTCCCCGAGCCCTTTAAAAATAGAGAGTTCCCTCACAAAAGAGAATGTTCGAGGGACATGCTCAGACTGACCTGGAATAAAGCAACTATGCATGTTGTGAACTGCATAAGGAGGTCACAAGGCAAGGACCTGTGGGCAGCCTCCAGGATCTAAGAACCATTCCAGGCTGACAGCTAGAAAAATAGAGACCTCAGTGGTAAAGAAATGAATTCTGTCAAAAACTGAGAGTTTTGGAGATGACGCTGAGCCTAAACAAGAACAACAGCTCTGGGCAACACTTTGATTTCAACCCAGTAAGGATCCTACATCATCATGCCCAGACTTCTAAATCATAGAAACTGTGATATAAGTCATTTGTGATATTTTAAACTTCTAAGTTTGTAGTAAATTTGTTATTCACTAATAGAAAATTAATACCATGACCTTAGCCCAGATGGTCCAGAGAGATTTCCTGAGCTATTCATTTTAATAGATAGTGTATTTTTTATATGTGATTAATGTTATTTAATTATTACATTTCCAGAACATATGTGTCTAAATGTTTAGATTTACAAAATTATGGAAAAGAATGGGCTTGCCAAGCAGAATTTCCCAATTCTTGAATTACTATACTATTGTACCCAAATCTGTAATATTGCTTCTCCCCTCTCAATTACAAAGATCTAAGTCATTGATCCAAAAATTATGATAGAAGAGATCATGAATCTCTCATTTCATTCCTCACTCTCATCTCTGTCTCATCCAAAACTAGGATATCAATATAGCAGGAGCAGTGTTATAAAAAGATTGGCTGTAATTGATAAATTACTCTTATAAATGCCTCTGACTTGATTCTTCAGGGCTCAATTTCTCAGCTCAAGATTATAATTCTTCCTCTTCTCCGGAAGAATAAACCTACCTTACAGCTCTATTATTGCATTTTAAATCTCAAATTCACAGCTACAGCACATTTAATCAATCTACCACAGTGAATCTGAGCCATGCAGCTATAACTAAATAAAAGCCAGAAGTATTTGGATCAGGGGCCAAATCTATTGCTCACCATTATATTCCAAGGGAAACAATAAAAAAAAATTAACAAGTGAATGAACCTAATGAGACAAAAACAAGGGATAATAAGAATCTATACCATATACTGAATAAATCAATGTTATTCCAAGCACCAGGCTAGATTTGAGGTATATTAGCCCAAAACTAGCCCCTGCCGTCTCTCATGAAAATTCTATTCTAGTGGATGAAGTCTAATCTGGGGAATAAATAACTAAAATTGCCCTAAAATAATGACCATTCACAGGACAGGTTGTTCTTATATGCTCTCTCTAGATTTGCAAGAACAGCCATCCAAGCAAATCTTTTAATGTCCTCACCCTTTCTTCTAACAATCCTAGATAAATGAAAATAACTAAAACTTACATCAAGAGCATATATGAAGGGAGTAAGAAATCACAGATGGTTTATGCAAGGAACCAATCTTATTTCCATCTGTGTTTCCCTTTTGACCTTTTTTTTTTTAGTTGTAGATGGACATAATAATTTTAATTTTTTTTTTGTGTGTGTGTGTGTATGTAATGCTGAGGATCGAACCTACTGCCTCACACATGCTAGGCAAGAGCTCTACCACTGAGCCACAACCCCAGCTCGACCTTGCTACTTTTGATCACACTAACTTCAGAATTTGTCTTTTCCAACTATCCTAGGCTAGAGTATCAGGCTCTAAGCTATCTTATTTTGCAGGCTGCAATCAGAAAGTTCCCCCCTCTTTTTTTTTTTTCCTTCCTTCTTTACTTTTAGAATCAGCTTCAGCTTGAGTCTAACAGTTTCTTCTAGGATCCTATTGAAGACAAAAAGATGTAGCCAAGAAACTTCAATATCTTCACATTTTCCTTCTGTGTCCCTGAAAGATTCAAATGATCTGCATCCCAAGTCACTACAGGCTAAAGTGTAATAAGCTTTTCCCTTATTACATAATGATGATGGCCGACTTCCCAGCCCTGGATAGAGAGAGGCTCCTTCTCTGCCTTTCATCTTCCCTTGCCTAGATAATTTTGCACGGTAAGCTCTGTGACTTGCAGTCCCCGCTTCTAGCCCATATTTCCATATCAATTAGAGCTTTCTGGTTGCAAGCATAGAAACAGTTTCTGTCTAATTTATACACAAAACAAATCCTCTGGAAATATATGGGTAGCTCACAGAAAGATTGGAAAACAGTTTCCTTGACCTA